GTGAATGTCACACTAGTAATTTCGCCAATATGAATGAGTTGAATTGTAACTCAAGTAGAATACTGTGAATTTTTACTACGTAAACTAGATTACTTTAGGTGTGATAGTATATTAATAAAAAGTAAATAAATCTTTTCTGTGTTCTACTTAGTCGATATATGCTTTATATTGTTTCGGACACATAGCATTGAATCAGAACATGACGCACTCTATGGGTGTGGGTGTGCATGAAGAGAAGATCCACACCCTTTTAACATGGGTGCGAGTTATTTTTAAATTTTTCTTTTATATTCGAACTCGAATTAGGCATATACTCTTTTTTTTAATGAGCGTGAATGGCTCACAATTGATGTTCGATTTTGAGCGTTTAAACGCGCTTTTCCAAATTTTTGTCTGCTTGCATAGCAGGCATGACTACTAAAAACATCAGTATTTCCATTCGAAATCTGTATAAAACATGAATAAATTAACCTTTAGTTGATACTAAATTTTAGTACGTTAAGAGCTCTATTGATGACACAATTTTCAAATAAAAAAGGCTGAGACTAAGGTGGATTTCGCTTAGAGTCAAACGTATTTATTGGCTACTATAAAGTGTAATGATTCAGCACAAATATATGTAAGTGCAATTGCTCCTAAATAATAAACTAAACATCAGAATCTTAAAGATAAACTAAATTTCTTTTTTCGATGATAGGCCATTTTTGGACACGTTAAGCCTAATTGAAACTGAAAAGTGAAAAAAAAGATTTCCTTGTGACAGTGGTGGAAATCGCATGGATGTACTCAAGTATATTATGAATATTCTCATCATTGTTTATTTGTAGGAACTATGTTTCCATCAGTGATATGCGATGAGGGAACTATTCTCGTTTCGGGTGGATTGGGTGGACTTGGACTAACCATGTCTCGCTGGATGATCGAAAAGCATGGTGTCAAGAGACTGGTTCTTATGAGTCGTCGCACCTGTGCTCAGTTCGAACACCATGATAATAATCTACAATTAGAAGACTGGTTACAACTCCAACGGATAGCGGCTGAATATGGTGCTCACATCGATGTGGTCCAAGTAGATGTGACTCGATTTGACGATGTATACCAAGTTATGAGGCATCTTAGCCAAACACCATACCCAGTACGAGGCATTATCCATAGTGCCGTTGTTTCGGAAGACAAATTATTAGCCAACCTCAACGGGAAAGTACTTGCGCGTGTTTTGGGACCTCAAGTATGTGGAGGATGGAATCTTCATCGAGCTGCGCAATCTATTGGAATACCCCTGCATTTCTTTGTGATGTTCTCATCCATTCGCAATCATATGATAGATCTCGGATCGGCTAGCTATAATGCAGGAAATGAATTCCTCGATGCTCTTGCACACTATCGTAGTCAACATCTTCAACAATCTGCTCTCTCGATCAGTCTACCAATCGTAAGTGGTGCAGGCATGTTCCATAGGCAACGTGATAATTTAATGAGCTTATATTCTTCTCAAGGCTTTGAGACATTACCCACTCTGGCTACCTTTGAGTTAGTCGAACGTCTCTTTGCCAAACAGGCAAGTTGTCCTTGCCCTATTATTTTTGCAGTTAATTGGCAAACCTTAAGTACCAATAAATCTGGATTACCGACATACCAGTTAGCTCAACTGGTCGAAAAGCAAATAGATGCGGTGACTAATTCTCTAGTTGCAGGAAGAAGCGCAAAGTTGGAATCGGACATTAGTATCGAGACAATTACTCAACAAACGCAACTTACTGTGATGCGTCTGCTAGGATCCTTGAGTATCGATCGAATTGATATCAATTGCTCTCTTATGTCACAAGGTATAGACTCGCTTGCAGCTATCTCCCTTTATAACTGGGTCACTGACAAATGGAACGTACATATTCCGTTAGCTAATATTTTTCAAGGTATTTCTGTTCGGATGATTGCCAATCAAGTGTACGACAAATTGAAGGAACGTTTAGCTATTCGGTCAGAACCCGACACGATATTTTTGAATAATATAACGAGCATGGCCACAACTACACCTGTGACGAGAGAGCTTTCTGTGAATCATGTGTCATCATACATGACCACTGAAAAAGTTGTGAAGATTTTCTTAGGTACAACTGGACAACCGACCGTTTTCTGTATCTGTACTGAGAGCACAACTGCATCTTTTCACAAGCGTTTGCAACAATTTGCTGATACATACACGATTCACGTGCTTAAAATTCCAACTAATCTGTCTACAAAGGTTCAGCATGCACATGAGACAATCACACAAATGCGTCGACTACAGCCTCGTGGTCCTTACTTAATATATGCTGCTGACAGTGAAGCCAAATTAGTCACTCAGGAAATATTCAAGCAACTCGAACAATATACAGAAGTTGGTGCGAGCCATCTCCTAGCAGATGAATTTTTTCATCAATTTAGTTCGTAGTAGAATGGGTTCAATTTATAAATAATCTGACTGTAATAAACTCATGAAACACTGTTGAGAGAATTCTCTAAGAAGATCATTTGCTTTTGGCCTGAGAATTAGTTTAATTTATCGAACTTAGCACTATTTGATCTACACTTCTTGGAATATAAATTTCCAATCGATTGACTGAAAACTAGAACATCTTGAACAGTAGGTTCATCAGAAAAGTGTTAAAAACTTGAATGTTTTGCAGAGAATAGACTTTCATGATGTGATAACCGAATGGATAACTGCTACGACAATGAATAAATCTGAAGTGTTCTCCAACTTTATAAGCTCAATGAACTGTAGAAATTCTCGACACAGAAGTAAAAAATATCTCCTGAGATTAGCACGTTAACGAAAATAAGAAGAATGTGCTTAGTTGTCTTTCAAACTACAATAGCATACATATTAACTTTTATCTTACTATACTTATTAGTCAAAGTCAGTATTACTAGATTAATTTCTCTTCCGTTTTTACATTTTTTTTTAATATTACTAATGCGATTTGCAGTTTTACATTTGCTGCTAACAGAAATTTTCTAATCCCGATATTACACAGCAATTTGAATATTCCTCAAATTAAAAATGCTTTTCAGACTACATGCAGTTGATAAGGGTGTGATAAGAAATATCGCCGTTCCACGACAACAGTTGTTTCTGTCCTGGCGGAACTTCAACAGGTGGTAGCTTAATATTATATCTATATAGGAATATAATTCTGTATAATATTAGTTACATTTGAATTATATTGTGATAGATACAATAATTAATATATTTGACATTTGCACATATAAAATTGTCAATAATAGTATTAACTCTAACTATAATCTTGAGGGTGTGGGTGTGTAGAAGCTACCACGACGCGTTTCGACTGTTGTTTAGATAGTCTCATCAAGTGGCTTAGTATCTCTAAGTTGATTTAAAATTTGTCGACAAAAATCGATAAAATTAAGGGTGTGTAAAAGTTACCACGATAACCTATGTATAGATTATTTCGATGTTACTAACTCAATCTTATCAAGTGGCCTCAGTTGTGTTGTAGTTGTGTATGAATCTGTGTTTGCTGACAGGAATATTTCAAGCTGTCGCGAGTATGATTTTTCAAGATTATCGAAATCGTCATTGGATTGCTGGTTTTCAGTAGTGATCTTCGTTGTTAGAATAGATCTTTAGCAAGACAAGATGAGGCTCAAAGAAGCAGTATCGTGGGTGTGGGTGTGGTGTGGCTGTGACTGTGGGGTGTGTGGGTGTGAGTGGGTGCGGGTGTGGGCGGGTGTGGGTGTCGGTGTGGGTGTGGGTGTGAGTGTGGGTGGGTGTGGGTGTGGGTCGGTGTGGCTGTCAGTGTGGGTGTAGGTGTGGGTGGGTGTGGGTGTGCGTGGGTGTGAGTGTGAGTGTGGGTGGGTGTGGGTGTGAGTGTGCCTTAAGAAACACTTGACACCCAGACCCCACACCCACACCCACATCCACACCCACACACCCACCCACACCCACACCCACCCATACCCACCACACCCACCCACACCCACACCACCCACACCCCACCCACACCCACACCCACACCCACATTCACCCACACCCACACCCCACACCCAGAACTGTTCGATCATTGCAATACGCATACGATAATGATTTTGATGAAAGCTTTTAATTTAGATATTCACTTAAATCTTCATAATTTCGAGAAATGAAACTACTTAGGATCTAAGGTCAAAATAAGCTTTCTAATTAAAAGAGTTTTTACACAAAACGAACGATATTATTGAACTAAAAAAAGCACAAAAATTAATTTTCTAACAATGTGTTATGTATTGGCCATTTGGTTTACCATATATCACACGGTCGATCACTCGTTTAGTGTATGATATTCTCTTCTATCTTCGGTACCTGTGATCTATGTTATTCTGGGCTTCTTTCATCATTTTTCCTTTGTTTACTGTTACATAGTGTTTCACTTCTTTTCTTTTCAATTGTTACATATACGTTCCTGCCAGTCTGACCTATCCTTCTTGACTGACGTCTTTTTTTTGTAACTCTTCCTGTTTTTCATTTTTCAATCAGCCGAAGAAGCCTCTCAACTTCTTTCCTGACTAGTCCAACTTTTCTTTCACTATATATACGTGCTTCCTAGCTTTTTTTTGGAGAAGGTGAGCACGCAGTTACTCTATCTTTTCAAAATAAAGTAGTGACATAACACAATGAGAAATGTTTCTTCATTTATGTTGGTATCCATATAAGAATTTCATGAAGTATTTCAATAGAAAAACAAGAATTTGGAAAGGGTAAGTTCAAAAATGTTGGTTAGTTTCACATTGGTACATATTTCCAAACTTTCTTTAGCAGCACTCGTTATTATGGGAAAATTATAGCTGTATGATTATTGAAGAATAGAATTAGGTAAAATGCATAAAATGGTTTTGTCTATTTATTTCTTGAAATAATAGTTCCTTATGGGATCAATCAAGCAAAAGAAAAACAACGTATGCAAGTTTATATTGAAAAAGGATGGAAAAAAAATTTTTATTTGTGCAATTTTCTTCATGATTTAAACTTGAATGATATATACACTCATATTATCACGACTTCGTTTTTCTAAACAATGATCTAACAATTGTGATGCCATCTCATGTAAGTCTGTTGTCGATATTCGTTGAATTACAAATGAAGCAGCTTGTTCATTCGACATAACATGCCAAATACCATCTGATGCAAGAATAATAAATGCTGCAGATGGTTTTCGAGAATAAATAATAATATCAGGAATAGGTGATACTATATTTTTATCAATAGTAAAATCTTCTATAACTCTTGTCATTGCAAGACGTTGTTCAACACGTAAAATATCTTTTGGTGATTTTCGTGTTATTTTACCACCTGCTTCTTGAATACGTTCTTCTTCATTTGGATCATCTAGCGTATGGTCTAATGATTCATGAAAACTAAAATAAATCAAATAAATAAATAATAAATAATTACCATGAGTAGATGCTAATATTTCTCCATTATCTGAAATAATTATAGCTTGAGCATCACCGACATTTATTAAATAGATTTGTTTTGGACCAATTAAACAAGCAATCTATTTGCGCATTATGTTATTTAGGAGAAAAATGACAAGATAAATTTAATTGAAAGACTTACACATACAGAACCACAATTATCATAATCATTTTTTCTTAAATTTTTATCAAGTTTAATAAAAGCATTTTTAATTGCACGGCGAAATTCTCTTCGATGAATTTTTCATGTTCGGATTGATCTTTTTTTCGATTAATTATTCGATTAAATTCATGGAGAAGATGAATATGAAGAAAATCAGATGCATAATGTACTTAGCAGTACCTTTAAAATAAATAATATTAATTTAAAAAAACAAAAATATTAAGTTTTAATCTATTGAATACCTGAGTGACCATTAAATATAGCAAAATAAGAATATGTTTCTCACAAATAATGATCATCTAAATGTTTTAAATGTTGATGAAAATCTTCCATTGATGGGCGATATCCTTGCATTGAACAAAATCCAAACCACTGACCATCAATTTTTTCTTTATCTTTTGATAATTGATGAAGTGATTCTTATTCCATATTATGATTTATTTCTTTTTCGATTTATCATCATTCATATTGATTGAATTTGACGCTTAAAAAAATTTATTATTAATTGCAATTTAAATCATAGAAAAAGAGTCTTATAAAATAAATCTTTAAATTATTGAAAGTAATCAAAAGTAATTTAATTGATTTTTTTAAGAAGTCATTTTTTCGTTTGTTTTATGTTTAATATTCATAAAATAATCCTTTTAGAAAATATATTTCATAGTAAGATTATGAAATTGTTTTATCTTTCTTTTAATTAAAAAAAAATTTTACGCTTGAATACTTACTTGCAATATCAGATTGACTATCGTCCATTTGTAAAATTGTTTCATGTTTCATCTTTCTTCTATTGAAGACTCATTATAAAAGACGTCTAAGTGAAAATTGCGTTTTTTCACTTCTTTTTCCTTCTGTTTAGCTTTCCTCGATTTCATCACACTTCTTATGGCAGATCAGTATAAAAATCAATTTTCAGAAAGGGGGTACTTGTTCAAACATACTATTTCTGCAAAACGTATTTAACTTTTTGCAAAGTTTTTGATTTTCTAATACAAAATATTTTAATGTACAGAAAATGAAGAAACAAACTGCAAGCTCCGAGCACCAAAATTCAATACAAAGTGTCAGTTATGAATGGAAGTCATACGATGTCTATTTGATTTTCTTCCAGCGGAAAAGTGTTTTTAGGAAAATAATGGCCCTTTACTGGAACTTGATTGAAAATTTCAGTGATCGATGAATAAGAACCTTTAATTGGTTTTCTCGGAACAGAAGAAAACTATTTAAAATAAACTAAATTACAGAAAGTAAATTTTTAACTGACCTAAATATGTGCCTAGGAGTTGCTGAAAATCAATTAAAGATTTGAATTTTTCGATCCTGAAAAACTTTACCTAATGTTTATAAAAAAAACAACATCATCGTCCAAAAATATTATCTAGCAAAGAATAATAAAAGTATAAAAAGAACTCAGCATCAGTTCTGTTAGAGGATCGAATAAAGTTCATATAACTGCTCGATAAAAAAATATCCTCACGTATATTCAACTGACTCATTCAGTTTATTTTCTATTTTAAAATGCTCTTGAAAACAAGTTGAAAATTTCGCACGAAGTTCTATGAAAAAAATTGTTCACATTATGAATTTTAGATTAAAATATGAAACACAATGCACAGCTGTTATTGCTAATCACAAGAAGATCGTTCTGTTTCATCTATTTTAGGACACATTTTCTTATTATCTACATTGTAATCCAAAATTGTGATAAGTCTTTCATATACGGTGTACATCGGTCTCTAGAGATGGACTCGGTGAAAATGTTTATCTGTACACTTCAACATTTACTTTAGACTGTGTTTCACCGAAAAGGAAAACATGGATAACAAATATGCGAAAGCTCACACATATTTGATGATCTGTCCAGATTTAATGCAACCTCCTAACACCCTTTTTAAAAGAATCTTTTCTGAATGAATCCTATTCCTATTCGTACTTAATGACCTTTTTTCTTCTTCAATATTGATACACGTCACAGAAATCATCTCATCTTCTTCGTCCTTTTTCGATGCTTTTTTTCACTATACAAGAAGAAAATGATCATTGAAAGATTCATCTAACTATTCATCATAAGTTTATTTATGAGATAAAAATGAATTTTTCAAAAATAAAAATTCCTTTTCTATTCAATATGGTTAGCTCATAATTTTGTCAATGTTTTTCTACATTTGTTTTCTGTTTTTTTTATTCTAGCAAAATTTTTCATTCAAGTTTCTGAGTACATATTTTGATGATTTTTTTATATTAAAAGATAAAATCAGAATCTCCTTTTAAATGTTAAAAAACTGAAATCAAGGCTTTTTATTTGCTTTGAATAAAATATTTCTTCGTTTAAATATTTATTTCAAATTACATAAGCTGAATCTAAACGAGAAACTAAACAATAGCAAGATGTTGTTGACAAACTAAGATCGGTATGAGCGTGCGTCTTCTCTTTACTAACAGTCATACTCATACCCAGCATACCCGGGACCACATTGCTCCGAAACAAAGAAATTTTTCTCTTTTTACAGAGCAGAACAAATGTTCCTAATGAGTACGAGAAATTTCTTGAGAGTTTTACTCAAATCAAAGCCATATCAATGTAATAATGTTCATGAAAATAGTTTTGTATTATTTAAATCAAAATAGTGACGATAATCAGGGTAGAAGACATCATCTTTGTGTATCGATGTCATATTCTATAACTGTGTAGTATTCTTGCTGTTGGCATTTGTACAAACTTCTGTTGTTGAATCATACAGTTCTGCACTATTAAACCTTGACGAGCCACTGAATCCACCAACCACTAAAACTTTTCCATTTGATAACACAGATGCAGTGTGAGACTGTCGTTCAGTATTCAAACTTATGGTTTTGGTCCATAATCCTGTTAATGGATCGTATAATTCAGCAGTAGAAAGAGAAAGAGGATCAGCTCCGCCAACAACTAACACTTTCCCATTCTTTAATACAGATGCAGTGTGAAAAACACGTTTATCACTCATGTTGCCAGTATTTACCCATGATTCAGTTGATGGATCGTATAATTCTGCACTACGTAATGTACCATCGAGATTATTTCCACCAGTAACTAACACCATTCCATTAGCTAATACAGATGCAGTGTGCCACATTCGTGCATCTTTCATGCTCTCAGTCTTTGTCCATAACCCTGTTAATGGATCGTATAATTCTGCACTAGAAAGGGGACGAATATCAATTCCACCAGCAACTAATACTTTTCCATTTGTTAATACGGACGCAGTGTGTCGATATCGTGCATCCGCCATGTTGCCAGTCTTTGTCCATAATCCTGTTGATGGATCGTAGAGTTCACTAGTTAGACGAGGTTCTTTATCTTGCCCACCAGCGATTAGGACTGTCCCATTCGCTAATGTAGATGCAGTGTTTTGCCATCGTGCCGTACTCATGTTTCCAGTATTTGTCCACAAACCTGTAGATGGATCGTATAATTCTGCACTCGCTAAATCATTTCCATAATGTTTCCCACCAGTAATTAGTACTTTTCCATCTGTTAATACAGAAGCTTTGTGATTGGATCGTTGACCACTCATGTTGCCAGTATTCATCCACACTCCTGTGGCTAAATCATACAGTTCTGTGACAATCTCTAAATCGTGATCAGAAGCTCCACCAATAACTAAAACCATTCCATTTGCTAATACAGTTGCTGTGTGATAACGTCGTGCAATACTCATATTGCCTGAATGCGACCAACCTGAAAAGTAGCATCAATGCGTGAGCTAAGTAGTTTGCACATGAAATCTATATACAATTCTTATGAGAAAGATATTGATCGATATGTTACTTCACGAATCTGCTAAAACTACTGACAATATTGATTCATATCTTTCCTACACGAAGGAATAAATTGCCAAAAAGATTTTGTGCATACAACAACAGAGATCTTGAACAGATAGGGAACTAGCAGTATCAATGCACACATTAGTCTTATGAGATTTGTTGTCGAGCCGAAAATTATCTCATCTAAAATTCACTAAAACCAATCTATCTCGTGCAAAATACCTCAGTCACTTGTAGTACAGAAAAGCAACCATTAAAGCAGTGAAAGCCAAGGAAAACTTTCAGCTGCTATGATTTCAACGCGTTTTGCCACTATGTCCAAGCTTCTCAACAAGTTCATGCTTCTAAAAATAAAGAATGGTATGGGTGTGGGTGCTAGTGTAGTTAAGCTGAAAGTCAACATCTGCACTCACATCCACACCTACCTACAGCACGCCACCAACAGCCATACTACACCCGAAACCACAACCACTACCCTACCTACGCCTTCAAAATATCTGTAAGGAAGGTTACAATCAGATGGTTGACTCATGGATGGGTCGATTTTTTGAACCTGTGGTCCAGGCTAGGCTAGATCAAAGGTTTACAGCTCATGGGCTGACTTTGTTCGGTCCAGCCCAGCCCATTGAAACCTGTTTATTGGGCTTTGTTAAACTTGATGCGTCTGTGTTAAACCATTTGTTTTTTGGACAAAACACGCTGGAGAAATCAAAAGTTATGTTATCGATATTCGAACCTGGCTTTTGAGAAAAGCTTAACTTGGCCATTCAGCGTAAGAAAAATTTTATTATTGAATGTCGAACTTATGAAATTAATAAAACTAGGTTTCCGCTGAAGTCTGAGAACAACGGAAAAAGTCCTTCTAATATTCTTTCATACAGCATTTTCGAGAACGAGACATTATAATGAAAAAGTTCGAAAGAAACGTTCTCGAGGATTCGTCCGAACAAGAAGTTTTAATATTGATTTCTTTCGGAAAATTTGAATACCAGATTGAAAGAATTCATTTCTAATGCATTGATTTTCGTGCTATTAATTCTGGAGAGAAAGCTAAAATGCCATATTTCTAACTTAGTCCACTACATTTAAGGATTGTGTTCAATATATTCTCTAGAGCTTTTTAGCACTTTCCAGTCTATTATCCATGTGTTTCATGGGCATATTAATTAGTTTGAGTTCATTTTATGCTAGTTTGTCTGGTAATAAAGTGAAATGCTTCATCGTACGTTACTGACATCCAGATTCTAAAGTATGTTCAAATATTTGGACATTATTGTTAGACAGACTTATATGAAATGTACTCATATTAATATGTACATAATGCACTTTGATAGCAGAGTTTCAAATAGCTAAAGAGTTCTATAGAATAACATTGATATACCCTTCGAATACTCTGAAGTATTAATGAAGTATGGAACTTTTACATATTCTCCTTTGTATTCTATACTTGTAAGCATCATCAATTATTATTTTATCTCTCAAAATATTTGTAAACAGAAGAAAAAGTGTGAGTTGCACAGTTGAAAAAACGTTTAGGCTAACTAGTTCCTTCTCTACCACAGCAAGCCCAAAATCTTAATTCCATCACTATTATAAAAAAATGCTGAAGTGCATGTGATTTCAGACTTTTATCCGCTCTAAATTGTAAATTGATCTGGAGCTACCAATCAACTCAACACAATGAGATGATTATCTAATTTTTGTCAGATTTTGATATCAAATCAGACACAGCTTACATGAAAAGGTTGTCGTTGTTGTGATCGTATTTGTGGTCAAATTAGTTGGTGTTGTTGTAATCCGTTTTGTTGCTGCTGTCATGATCGTGGATATGACCGACGTTGCAGTTGTCTTTTTTGTTGTAATTGATACTTACGCAAAGAAGAAAAAACATACTTTAGGTTTATAATTATATTTGCCATACTAAGAAAAGGCAGAACCACCAATCTCTTTTACAACTTACCTCCTAAAGAAAAAATAGTATAAAATAAATCAGTTGAAGTTTTTGATAGATTATGAAGCTCTCACAAAGCTTTGCGAATTCTTTGTGCGAACTCTTGGATTACATTCATTTTTGAGTGTCATGGATGGCACGAATGCAGTGAACTTTAATGTATGATAAGTTACCAGTTCCGACAGAACTTGAGGAGGGCAGTTTTAGCGTGAACAAAGGATATGGTTCAAAACTGTTTCGTAGAAAAATCGAGACATTATGCATGACATACTTTCGACTATGCATAGCAACGAAGAAGCTAAAATTTTGCAATCTGAACAAATCCGATTTAATGATATTTTCACCCCTACTATAAGGCTTAGACAATTGAAAAGACAATCAACTCAAGAGAGAATTTAATGCATACAACCTAAGATCTGTACCGTTCTGTCTCATTTCTTAGCCGTTTCTGCACCTTGTCGACATTTGGTCGCATACACAAGTTTACCATATTTTAGGGAGATTTAGCCGAGATGTGATTAATCCAACTTTTTTTGTCAGTGTGGCTCATGGTAATCTATAAGAATACACCTTTTGCCTCTGTCAAACACTCATTACGCAGGTAGAAAATTCTGCTGTTCTTTTTGAAAGTGTCATTTCACAATGTATGTATCAGACGTAAAAATGGAAAGGATTAATTTTTCTTCGAAAGTTACGATTTCTGTCATACATGAAAAATGCAGATAACTTTACTCAACAATCAGAATTTTTCATGAAATTTTCATCGTGTACTGCCATATTCTTAGCGCTACTACCTTATGACTTTTTTCTCATTCAAGATTTTTAACTTCCCTTAACAGTTGCAAACATTTGACCCAATATCAGAGTCCGAGTCATCTCAGACCAAATACATCTCGTTGTGTGTTTCTTATAATGTATTCCTCTGAGATCTTTTCAAGTATGTTTTAAATAATCAGAAGTTTAAAAATGATCTGCATGCAACTGACGTATAATCTCTGATACCTCGATACCAATCATTCAAGAATGCGGAAGGACTGTAAAGGGCGAGGACTCTTGCTCCAAATTGTGACTTTTTGATAAATATTAACAGTACGATATGGCTACTTAATCGCTTGAAATGACAAAATGACCTTTGAGTTCTTGAATGATTGGCATTGAAGTCTCAGAGACTACGCATTAGCTACGTACAGGTCAGTTTTGAAGTCCTACTTATTTGAAACGTCATCGAAAATAACTCAGAGCAAATATATTATAAGGAATATACAATGGATCCTGTTTGGACTGAGATCACACAAACACAACAATCACGGAAGATGTTTATAACCCTGAAAGAAAATCGAAGATTTTGAGCGAGAAAAAGATCAGGTCACTTATCGTCACGAGCATCAATAGTGTGGCAAGCACTGGAGGTTCGGGTCTATTTTAAATTAATGATTATCGTGTTTATCGTTCGTTTTCGACTACGACATACTTCAATAAAATGACTCGAAAATTATAAGATAACACGCACATGCATGAGAGCAGTAGTACATTTTTTGAAAAAAATTATCCCTCTGATTTTTGTGTCTGACACATATTTAGTGAAGTGACATTTTCACAAAGGATATCAGAGCTTTTTACCTACTTGATGTGTAAGATATAGGCAAAAAAGTGTATTTCCATTGATGACAATAAGTCACACTGAAAAAAAGTTGCATCGATCATATCTTGGTCAGATTTTCCTAAAATATGGTAAAATTGTGTATGTGACCAGAATTCGACACGATACGGATACGGTTAAAGAATAAGACAGATCGATCAAAACCTGACCGACTTTGACCAATAATCAAGGCTGTTTTTCGTCAAGTACTGGATATCATGAAACATCTATCACGATCTCTAACTCCAGACTAACTGTCTATGATACATTGTTCAGTTTTCTAATTATATACTTTAAGATTCCTTCACGGTTGTGTTGAACAAAATTTATTACTTCCATTTCCAGATTAGAAATGGCTTGTAGCGTTGTTGATAGCGAGAATATCATGGTTGATAAATGGAAAATACTGCATGTTGTTCAATGTTTTTGTTACATCGAATAAGGAGTTATTCACAACAATAGATCAATAGAGGAAGAAAAACGAGAAGGAGAAGAACACGGTTTGTTCTGGAGAAATTGGTAGAAAGTCGGCTTTAAGCAAAAGATCATATTATGGTCAAAAGACACCTTTTTCGGCTAAAACTTTGGCTACTAAAATTCTCCAATACTAGTTATCGAATGTATATATTCGGATTAAAATTTCTAAATCGATCATATTATACTCCTCTGGTTGAATGCTGACTTTTTGCATGGAGCCTCTCATAATAAAAATAACTTCTCACCACTAGAATGATGATTCAGAAATAGATGGAAAAAAAGCAACTAATACAGTATTCTCATATATAAAAGTTTATGGATAGTTTTTGACTTAATTCCTTCAATAATTTTTATCGAAACGCCAATATCAGCACTTTCTAATGTCTCCGCATCTTTTCGACATCTGTCAGCATCTCAACATTTTTTTCATGCTGAAAAATTGCTGATCTATCGTGATCCTTCCATTTGATAAACACATTATCATATATTTTTTTTCTTTCAAAAATAGCATACTATTTGTAGTGTCTCTTCTAGTTAAAACGATAGGCACGACAATGGTCGTTGTTACCATGCATACTCCACTAATAATCGCAAAGCTAATGAAGACAGAACATCTAAACATGAAATGAGGCAATCATTTATATAATGAACTATTTACTGATACGAACCTCTTCTTAGTGCCTGTTGAAAGAGTCGACGGCTGTGGTCGATCTTCAGACATATTTCTCTTCCTTTGCTTATTCGCCAAATGACACCTATTCACTTCAACATGCAATATTTGAGTAAGAAAGCATGCAAAGCTATTTCCTAGACAAACATTTTTCTCA